GAATGCAGTTTCATTTCATAATTTAGAAAAAATTTTATACTAACCAATTCTATTTTAATATTAATCTATAATCTTGTCACATTTGTGTGTAAATGTAAATTATACTTTAAATTAAACCAAACTTTGCTCCCTCAGTGCTATTCCAGAAATTAACCGTAAACTTATTTGCTTGTTACACACGCTCGTATACTAACAAATTTCGTTTTCGATAACAATTCAAAAAAATACACAACTATATTATAGTATAATAAGGATACTAATTGTAAGATATTATACGTTGTTTACAGCTATATAATAAACATCAATCGTATTAGGAAAATCATCATGGGGAGAATGCTCATTTACAATCGTATGTAATTTCATTCAGCATTCTGTTGTGTAAACGTCTTATTTTACTGGGTAATCGTACTTAAAAAAAAACTAGATACGGTATCACACATGTTAAGGTGACTTCAGGAAATCGATCGCTTCCTTAAGTTCGACCTTTCGAAATTTTACCGGTGTCAAAATTTTAACGAATTGATTCAAAAGTTCGTAGTGCTATTACTACGATTAACTTTTTTGCCTATAACACGGGATGACGATAATCTGCTGGCTATCGGTCGCAATTGTCGATCGCTATTACCACCCTCGACGACAACATTCGGTGCGATGGACTTCAGACACATTGCTGCGTCATGGAGTCGTTTTGCTAAGATTTCATTTTTGAGTTTTTCAGCGTTCAATTCTCTTCGTAATTGCGCTTTGGTTTTCTTTCCGATCGGACATAAGACTCGGTGTTGCATCAAAGACATCGCTGATGGCCTCATTTCCGGGTTGGGGTGAATCATCAGCTGTGAATAACATAAAGCAGCAATGTAAAAAAGATGAAAATAACTTATTGGAAACATGATACAAGGCTTGTCCGATAGATCGCCACAATAAAAGAAACAATAAATTGTCATTAAACTTCAGAAATAAGATCATACCTTCAACAAGTTGTTCAAATCGCGACTGCAGTGTGGCAAGTCTGGTAATTTCCCCTGTCTAATGTCATGCCACATGGGTCCGTTTTTCGGCAGAAGTCCACCGCCACCCGCCTCGTAAACGGTTAATCCTAAGGCAAAGATATCGGCCTTCGGTAGATGACTGAAATCTTCATGCAGAATTTCTGTTGGAAGGTATCTGCAATCGCCTTCTTCCACCTGCGGATTGTTGATAGAAGTGACATGGCCGAGATCACCAATTTTGTATGTGATTTCCTCGTCGACGTTTTCTTCATCGTCAAAACCATCGTCCGCGGAGTCATAGTTGATGGCACGCAATTTCTTTTCCTTGGTGATGAAAATGTTGCCAGGCTTGATGTCCATGTGCACAAGCTGCATGCTGTGTATATACCTAAGTCCTTCAGCCACATGTAATAGCAATTGGCGCATCTCAGCCTGGCTGAAGTGCTGCTTCTGTTTTTGCATTAAGAGGATCGTGTCCGCGAGACTACCACCGTTGCAGTATTCGTTTTGGATGATCATATGATTGTCTTCCGCCCAAGCGGAGTAATAACGGACCACATGCTGATGTTTGCCGAGCACAGCGTGCGCGTACACCTCATTCAACGCGTTCTTCTCATTAGTGCTGCCCGCTACGGGTTTGATGCTCTTCTTGATGGCATATGTACATCCATCCAACCGATTGATGCACTTGTACACGGAGCCGAATTCACCGATTCCGATCAAGCCAAGCTCGTGGAACTCCTTATGATAACGCGATATATTCGAATCCTGCAGTGCTACACGTTTCGTCACGTGTTCGTACTCGTTGTCGGAATCTTCGGAGTCAGCGAGGTCAAACTTTGGTACTTGCATATCTGGTGAACTACTATTACTACTGTTGTAAAAGAAAGAAAAGTAATGTAGTTACGAATCTGAAGCAGATCTTCTTTTTCGAGTAAAAACTTTATAACAAACCAATATATTTTAGCATTTTTAATATTAAAATTTAATATTTGAATAATATATCAGAAATAAAATCTCAAATTTAATCTTTGCGAACACACAAAAGTCACGAATATGGAAAATTACTTTATTATTGTGATTAATCACAGGCGCAGATTTTACAGAAAATAAATAATAGTTATAAGATATACAGTTCGAATACATACCCATTGAGACTACGTTTAGATCTGCTTCTTTTCTTTGCTGTTATTAACATGCCAGTAGGTGTGAATGGATTTACATTCGCGGCAGGTTTTTCGAACTTATTCTGGTAACTGGGGCTTATCTTAGAAGGTTTAGGTTTTTCTAGAGTAAAAAATCTAGAACATCTTGAAGGTATCGGAGTTTGTAACACGCTCTTCTCTATCAAAGTTTTAGGGGTAGTAGGTGAATCGAATAGACGTAATGCCCTAACACGTTTGTAGGGTGGACTACACCCCATGGAAATTTTGTGAACACCATTTTCACGACTAATGGGAGCCTTGATGGCTGGAGTACCTGTAAATAAACGTTTATTCCGTATAAAAAGCTTGTAATCATCAAAATTCATAGATAATGATTTTAAAAACCGATCTGTGTGAATTAGCTTTTTATTATACTTTTAAACTACACTTTTTTCTCTTAGAATAACTTCAAAAATATTTGATACTAAAATCATGGAATAGATTAGAAATTAGAATATAAAGATAATAATGAATTTTCTGTAAATTTGTAACACAACCACAAAAAGTTCTAATAAAAAACGAAGAAAATAGGATGGTATACGCATTTAAATATAGTTAATAAAAGTGACTATAAAACTTTATCTCATTAGACAAAATAACAAGTCAATATATGTTTAAATAAAATTAACTCTAAAAAGTGTTATCATTCTTGTAAATAAAATTTTTAATTCGATTTTTTATTGACTTGTCATTTTGTCTAATGAGATGTGTGTGTGTGTGTGTGTGTGTGTGTGTGTGTGTGTGCGCGCGTGTGTCAATAAATGCGAGCACATTATATGTACAAAACTGCATGTAATAATTAGATATTACATGCAATTATGATGATATCATCAGTACAAAGAGAATCTAGAATCACCGATGTTATCATAACTTTTTAACTAAAAAATCGATCGTAGTCCGAATGTCGTATAATTTACGATCGTAATTTCGGAAAATGAAAATTTTACAGAAAGTATTCACGATGCAAAAAAATTGTCAAATGTATCAATATCAATAATTTCGCATCATGCGCCAATGCAATTTTGAATCAACGTCGTACGAGTATTTGAAATCTTAAAACGAGGAGAGAAAGAAATTTATAAGACAGGAGGTAACAGCTGTACAGAAATATAAAGAACATAACACAAAGAAATGCAGAGTCATCTGGAGTCAGGTGCAAACAGAAGTTTTCTGGCAAAATTAGCGTGATACATCTACTTCTTACATTTATATCTACTGGTAATCGGCACAAAGAGTTTAAAATCCATGTGTTTTATAACGACAAGACTGAATTTTGATACAACAGGGTCTCACAAAATTTCTCTGGTGTAGAGCATGAAACGAACTCGCAATGCGTCTTGATTATTACTTCTTTAATTAGCACGATGAGCAAAAATTTGCAATTCCTCGTTTTGAAATGAACTGTTTCCATAAACCGTTTTCCACAGATGGAATCGTTTCCGGGTGAATTGAATTCGTAAACGAAAACACGAGGTCACTTCCGACGACTCGCCCCGCGGGGCAGGGACGCCGCGTCGTGGCGTAGCACGGAAAAAATCTCTGTGGCTGCACCACGTTGCACTTTTTGCATTTTAAATTAAGTAAACATACATAATTAAACGTATGGAAATAGAAAATTGACCAAAAAATTCAAATAATGAAACGAACAAACGTTTGAGGTTCCGCTATTCGTAGGTGCACTGTGTTACTCTCTACACGTAAAACGGCATGCGATGAAGGACATATTAAAAACAGATGTTAAATAGCCATTGGACAGAGAAGGATGAAAAATAAAAGGAATTTTAATACGAGAAAACGTAAAATACCGTTCTTTGTAGTTGCACCACATTACACTCTCTACACTTCAGGCATACAACACACATAAAACAGGTGTTAAATAGACATTGGGGAGAGAAAGATAAAAGTACAAAGAATTCGGATGCAATAAAATATTCGAGATATTCGAGAATACCGAGAATAAACGTAAAGTTCCATTCTCCGTAGTTGCACCGTGTTATACTTTCTGCACTTGAAACGGCACACAATGAAATACAATAGAAAACACGGGATAATACGTGACCGTCGGAGAAAAAGAGACGAAACGTAGAAGAGGTCCAGCGGAGCGGAGTAAACCGAGTGAGACGCAAGATTCTAACCTGTCACGAAGATCGAAATTTTGTTGTTGTTATTCATCGGCTGGCCCTCGTCGTCGTTGCAGTCCGTCGCGTCGAACAGCTTGCGCGGCTGCAGTGGCGGCGGCGAGTCGAAGTCGTCGACCGAGGAGTCGAGGACGTCGCACTCGGGGCTGTTGTCGCCGGCGTCACCGGCGCCGCCGCAGCTCCAGGTGAGCTCGCCGTTCTGCATGTCGCAGGCGTCGTAGTGCACCTTCCGCGCGACCTCCATCTTCGCAAGCCGTACGATCACGTCACGCACGTGCGGCGTGCGTGCCGCGACGCTTCTCACGATTCACGATTCACGGGAAAGGGACGGGTGGAAAGGATGAGACTGAAAGAACTTGGAGTAAATGCCGGCTATTGCAGCTAAGACGAAATCGAGAATTGACCGAATCACTAACGACGTCGACGTTAACACACTCGCGACCGCGTTCATTCAAGCCGACGGAAGCACCGCTCATTCCGGCGATCGCGTTCGTTGTGGCGTTTATGATGGCTGCCGGGACGGAGCATAGTCTGCGAAGTGGCCGACGGTATACGGTCGACCAACCAATCAGCGCACGCGGCACGAAGACCAGGCGGATGTAACGCGCTCCCTAATTGGTACTCCGCCACTCTTCCACCACCGCGGTACCTACCGGCTTGCTTGGACCCGAAGGGTAGATTCTTGTGAATTCGACGAAATTCTACACCATTCTATTACTTTCCACGCAACATTTTCCCGTAGGCATCTTTCTCGGCGCCGAGAAGCAACAAAATAGAAATCGCTTCCTTGTTGCGCCGTTTTGTTTCCTTGTGAAACCAAAATGGAAACGATAAACATGGATTTTTTTGAATCGCCAACTTTACTTTTCGACATGCTCGACGATAGGAGAAACGGCGTTCAAGATACTTTTTCGAAATTCAAATTCCCCGTCTACTCGCGAGGCGACTCTCGCATCGGTGGATGTTATTACGATAGTTTTTCATACGCAGATTTCCTCCGGAAATTTCCTTTATATGTGTGCAATAGAACGTATTATTATCTGGTAAGTAATATGCGACGTTATCGAATGCATGGGGGAGGATCGGTACTATTTGAAAAGAGTGTATAAAGATGAAAAGCTTGGAACTGCCTTTCAGGAACAGCAATCGGCATTTGGTTCGAAAGAATATAAAGGACAAAATCAAGAAAACAGTAAAAGTATAAATATACATATATAAAATTATCATTTTTTTCAAGAAATATTAACATTTTTTTTTAAATAATATATATAATTATATACTGAGAAAAAGATGCCTAAAAATATATTTGTGAGAAACATATTTAATTTTATTGAAATAAATATTTATTTAAATATGGGCGAAATAAAATTTTATTCCTAGCAAATAAGCCAATTTATAAAATAAATCTATTTTTTTGCATTTAATGAGATATATTTCATAGAAATGAAATATATTTCACAAAAATGATTAAGATATATTTCACAAAAATGTATATTTTGTCATCACAATCAAAGTAACATTCGTAAGTAACATTTGCTTCGCAATACTTCGACATTTTTCTCTCAGCGTGTGTGTATTGTTACATTAATATATAATATAATTCTATATATCATATAATATATATAATATAATTTTGTTTAAATTATTATCTTGTATTCTACATATATCTCGGTCGCTATATATCAATCCTTATCAATCTTTTGCGGTTTAAATTTTTTTCAGCAAACGAGCAAACATCAAATAATTCGCCAACTTTATTCACTTGGCTGATCTAACGTGAATCAAAGAATTTTTATTACTTGAAGAATTTTTATTACTTGGCCTTTTTACTTAAAAAATGTAACTTGCCAGTATTTACCTTACAATTGTATATTGCAGATTCAAATGCTTGACAAATTATGGGATAAGTTACTGTAACATACTATACCGAGTCTTATTTGTTCAACAATAGAACAAAGCATTAAATAGGATAAAAGGACACCGGAACATTCTTGGATATTTCGAACGTATATAATAGCAGAGTTCAATCCCAGGAGACATGGTGTCCGTTTCTGTCATTGTAAATTAACTTTAATTTCGGTTAAATTTACTTTTTTTCCAATTTTTATAATTAGAACTAGAAAAAGATGAAGAATTCAATCAAGATTAAAATTAAATTAATCAATAGAAATGCTAGATATGAGAGATTCTGGCTAGATCTGAATTTTGTTCATTCTGATATTGTCGATCGCTCGACGCTCGTCGCTCGTGATTCAATCATTACTAGAGCACGTTCCATCGATTTTTAATTCTTTAAAGGATCATCAACACGATATAAAAGCGACGGATCGCGAGGTAGCAATTATTGGCCCGAGTATCGCGAACGATATATCTACACTGTGCGATACTGCAGCAGCTGTTCGGCCCGGCTGGACATCTGCCGCCGACTATTTCATCTCTTTGGGACCGCCTCGTCTTGGGACCGAAGGCCGAAGGTTTTAACGACGAACCACGTCGACAATTTCGTTATGGAATTCAATTTATTGGCTCTTAATTAACGTAGAATATGGTTTTTTATATAATGTGCATCTCACGAAGTACATCACGTACAATGAGCCTATGACTCCTCCGGAGTTCTTGTTTTCTTTTACGGAAATAAACCCATTCTTGTGTGCGACAAAAGTTTCACTGCAGAGAAATTTTCGTCGAGCAGCTGCAACCTGTGGCTGGCCAACATGGAAAGAGGCATCAGAAACAGGAACGGCTTGTGCGGCAACAACGCCCTTACACTAAATCTTTTCTCTTTTGTCATCCCTTTTTTCTCCACCCTCTCTCGAATTAACTATTCTTTCTTATTTCTTAAATTATTCAGACATAATTATTTTCATTAATTTGATAGATAAAATTTTTTGAAAAATTTTTAAAGATTTTCTTTAAGCTTTCTTTTCTTACATTTTTATATAATTTAGCTTAAAAATGTATGTTCATCTCTCTGTTTTTATCTCATTAATTTTGAATAAGAATAGTAATTTATAGAATTTATAATTGTTTAAAAAAATTTTCAACTCAATAAACTCCTTTAAAAAAATAATACTATTTATGGTATTAATTGAATCAATATAAGTAGATTACTTGATCTTTTTGTATCGAATATAGAGTATATATATCGACAATACAATGTGCTTAAACAGGCATAGATCGATTATGGGGAGCCAATTGAACAATGTACGTGCTGCAATAAGAATGCATCATATATCAACTTCTGCGCGATGCACTATGGAAATTCAACGATGAGTCCAACGAAGTTTCGCCGAGCACGATTTGCACCAGGAACCCTGATGGCAAAAAAGATACATATCCGGGTGGGTCTCTGCAGGTGGATTCGAAGGAAGTTTGGATGTTCGAGATAGCGAGCATTACAAGAAAAACATTTCAATAGAAGCAGCACGTTTCCCCCCGATGTGTACACACGGGTATCGCACTATCTCAACTGGATAAAGGATATATATAATCTAACCAGAATAGTCGTCGAGCGAGAAATCTTAAACGACAGTCTCTATCAGAAAAAAAGAAGATTAAAAATATTAGGCACCTCGTGAAAAATTATTCTATTAATCCAAATTATTTTTACACGTACGTGGTTATTTTTCTCATGACTTATAATTTCTTTTTTAGTATAATAAGTTATTTAAATTTTAATGATGTTATTCCCCGAATATTTAGAATTATTTCTTAACGGAATACGAATTTAATAATTTCTCTTATTCTTGATCATTAATTCAATATATTGTTTCCATATTCCGTGTTATTAATTTTCAAATAATATTGCAGGATAATATTATTTCTAAAATCTGTTGCGAAAGTACAACTATATTTTAGAATTCAAATTAGAAAGTACAACTATATTTTAGAATTCAAATTAGAAAGCAAGAATTAGTTTCGGACATCCACTTTGATCGCAAGTCGGTCTTCGGTACCTATATATATGTTAAATTTTCCGGCTTTCTCTAATATTCTACGGATGTGAAAACATTACTGATTGAGTAATCGATCATGACGAAAAATTTAAAGAAAAGAAAGTTCGAAAAACACATGTTAACCACTACTGATAAAGATCAAAAAGATTTTTACCCGAAATAAAAAACTATTTTGTGGTAGCAAAAATTACGTCTTTATTTCAGGTAAAATATTTTTTTGGCAAACTTAGTACATTATTCTGTGCTGGTACATATAATATTAAAGAAAATCACATGTGAAATATATAATAAAGTTATCTAATGTAAAAACAAATATTTAAAAATTGTTCTCACATATGCGATCTAAAATAAAGATTCTTAAATTGTTTAAAAACAAATAATTTTCTTTTATTAGGATCAACGTTTTTTAAAATTATTTTCTAAAAAATATTCATATATTTCATGTAGATTATAAAATTAATAAATAGAGTTCTATTTCAATTTTTTTAATTCTGATATGAAGATCATAGATCGTATATGCATATCCGCGGCTTCAAATATCATACGCCATTCACTTGCATTGTTCTTTGCATGGATAATTAAGATCACCCGGTATAAACGTAGATTACATCAAATTTATTCGTTCTGCAGCGTCTCTTTACGTTTTCTGTTATTTTTAAGAGGAAAGTATATGTATGTGTATGTGTGTGTATCCACACTTTTAGAAGAAAAGAAAGATACGAGGAACCAAACACAAATAAACGGGAAAGTTGTGAACTAAAATAAGAGAGCAGAATACGTACATCAAAAGGCGAGTCTTTGACAGCGAAAAATAGTTTTGGAGTATTATTTTTTGCCTCCGAAAGTCATGGCACACGTGGAAGTCCCGATGGGGGAGATGCAGACCCCGCCAGAGAATCATAAAACTACGAATGGGTAATGAATATACAATTTCTTTTTAGATTTACCTAAGATTTACCTAACTTAACCTATAAGCACCATACTGTATGTTGACATAGCAACCTAGCAAGAACGAAGAAAGATTTAATTACTAGCTTATTCTGAATAATTCATCAACGTGAATAATTCAAGCATGTTTCACGAAGTTTTGACGTTGAAGAAATCGGAAACGCAGAGTAGAAAATCAGGATATAAAGATTCCTGCATTGTCTGATTTATTCGTATTAATTGATTTTTCTGCTGGTGTTGTTCTATAGATTTGAATTTCTACAACTACCTCAGCTGCCACTTGGACAGATAGCTGTAGGCTATCCTCAAGCCCAAAACTGGATCGAGCACAGAAAAGCGAATATTCGACCATGGTCATTATTCCTTAACACAAATAACATCAGACCGCCACCCAATATAAGCAGATTGAGCAAGCGGATTGTAAAGAACATTGAATATTTCCAGAGCAATTATCTGTTTGTGTTTATTGGACTAGTGATATACTGCTTGTAAGAAATACTTAATATTGCACTAATTTGTTGATTTAATATCTATAAAAATAATTTTTTTTTTTTATTAATTCTGCTGGTCTATTTAAATTTAATATATAATCATATTGTTTCAATATGATAAAAGTTCTAAAAAATAACAAATACATTTTTATAGAAAAAAGATATGAAATTACATTAACAAAGTTATCAAATAACACAACACTATAGGAAAGTTTTTAAATAAAATATTTGTTAAAAAATCAATTACATTTTGGATCAAATAGACTTGAACAAAGTTAATTAATTATTTTTATATGATTTTATATGTCTGTATGTGAGAGAGATAAAAATCTATAATTTTTTTTAAGACTTACCTCACCTCTGTTGTTGCTGGCAGTTGTCGCTTCCCTTGGAATATGTTACAAATTGTCTCAACGACATTCGAAGCAAGAATTGATGATATTAAATCATAGATTAACTTTGGCGCAAGTGTATTCTTTAGTTGGAATTTTGTCACTGCCTGTATTTTACCTAGTAGGTGCACATGCAGCTGTCTTTTGGGTACTTGGTAGGTAAAAGAGTATCTTCGAAATACAATTGAAATGATACAGAAAGTAATTAAATTTATATTCTTCTCTTTCAGGAGTTTCTTGGTTTATGATAACGCTTCATGCTGCTTTTTATAACATCGATGCAGTGTTGTGTCCAGGAGAAGAGGAACTCAATGCGTTAGTTATGCAGGAAGTATGATTACCATATACTTATTTTCTGCTAAAAAAAAATTGAATCTTTAACCTCTTAAAATATTCAGAATAACAATTTGAATGTATTTACTTTGTATACATTTGGATCTTTCCATTTGATGAATGGAGAGATTTATATAGAAACATATTGTATAATATACTTGCATATATTATTTAGTAATTTGATAAATATGACTTCCTGTACATAATATGTATATATATATATATTATATATATAAAGTTGTATTAAGATCTGTTTATGTAATCCACATATCTCAATAAGTATTTTGTTATTGAAATACATTTTTGCAAATGTATTTATAGGATAATAAGTGCACTGACAAATAGGGCACACATTTCTTGCACAAAGCTACAATTATATGTATATATAGTATTTATATGAGAAATATTAAATATTTTTATCGTTTATTTCAATTAATAACTTCTAATAAATTTTGTTAGTAAAAAGTGATATAGGTTGAACGTTTTGTATATATATGGATATTAAATAAACTTCCAATTTACAAAACGACACTGCAATAAAACGAACTAGAGAGCAAATCATGAAATGAAATATTTTCTACGATAGTGTGTAGTATCTCTGCGGAAATTCACTTCCGCAACGTTATATATACATGTGTATACCTTTTCTTGATGTGGTTATAATAATCAATCATTTGCGGAGATAGTCGCTTATATTCTAATATTAGATAATTAATTTTGTATTCTTTAGTATAGAAAAGAACGATTAATGTCTCATTCGGAAAAAGATAAATCAAAATGTATTGTCGTAAACAAACAAAAATCTAATAAAAATAAAGTTTAATAATTTCAAACTTGTGTATACAGGGCGTCCCGCGAGATTTCTCCCACTGTTCATAGGAAGATAAGTAGGATCGAGATGAACACAAAAGTCCCATTTAGCGATATTCACAATAATAATAGAGATATTAATTTTTGTAATTGTACTAATGAGAGTACAATTACGAGCAACAGCGCGTTTCCCCTCTTACCTCTCCAACGCGCTGCTGGCAGCCAATGCTCGATAAACTGAGCCGGACTATATCTCGAGCGGCTGAAGTGTTTCTCTCGTTATGCTCTCATTAGTACAATTACAAAAATTAATATCTCCATTATTATTGCAAATATCGCTAAACGATATGAGACTTTTCTGTTCATCTCGATCCCATCTTATATCTTCCTGTGAGTGGCAAGAGAAGTCTCGCGGTACACCCTGTATATATTATGTATAAGAATAAGAGAGCTATCTGCTGGATCCATTTTCTCATAATAATTATGATTGTAATATGTATATGAAGTATATGTTTAAATTATTTTTTGTATGATGAAAAATGAAACAGGTATATAGTTTTCACGTTTCGCAGCAGTATTATATATGAGAATCGATAAAATTCAATACACTTCAATATTGAAAATATTGATAAACAAGTATAATATATGCCCTATCATTCCCTATATCAATTTAAAACATATCACTGGAAATTATACGATTATACGTATATGTTTCGTCAAATTAACGTCATGCAAATTTCGTCACTACATGACATATTAAAGACGATACATGGACCGGTATTCGTAGTCAGATCTTATATTCAAGACCGTCTTAAGTACGGTCTTAAGAAG